ACCCAGATACATAAGGCAAGTTCTTAATGACTTACAAAGAGACTTAGACTCCCACACAATAAGAGTGGGAGACTTTAACACCCCATTGTCAATATTAGACAGATCAACAAGACAGAAAATTAACAAGGATATCCAGGACTTGAACTCAGACCTGGACCAAGCAAACCTAATAAACATTTACAGAACTCTCCACCCCAAATCCACAGAATATACATTCTTCTCAGCACCCCATCACACCTACTCTAAAATTGACCATGTAATTGGAAGCAAATCACTCCTCAGCAAATGCAAAAGAATGGAAATCATAACAAACAGTCTCTCAGACCACAGTGCAATCAAGTTAGAACTCAATGCAGAAACTAACTCAGAACCGCACAGCTTCATGGAAACTGAACTGGCTCTTGAATGTTGACTGGATAAACAATGAAATGAAGGTAGAAATAAAGATGTTCTTCGAAACCAATGAGAATGAAGACACAACATACCAGAATCTCTGGGACACATTTAAAGCAGTCTCTAGAGGAAAATATATAGCAATAAGTGCCCACATGAGAAGCAAGGAGAGATCGAAAATTGACACCCTATCATAAAAATTGAAAGAGCTAGAGGAACAAGCTCAAAAAAACTCAAAATCTAGCAGAAGACAAGAAATAACTAAGATCAGAGCAGAACTGAAGGAGACAGACACACAAAAAACCCTTCAAAAAAAAAAATCAATAAATCCAGGAGCTGGTTTTTCGAAAAGATCAACAAAATAGACCACTAGCCAGATTAATAAAAAAGAAAAGAGAATAATCAAATAGATGCAATAAAAAATGATGAAGGGGATATCACCAGATTCCACAGAAATTCAAACCATCATCAGAGATTATTACAAACAACTCTATGCACATAAACTAGTAAACCTGGAAGAAACGGATAAATTCCTGGACACTTGCCTCCTCCCAAACCTAAACCAGGAAGAAGTCGAAACCCTGAATAGACCAATAACAAGGTCTGAAGTTGAGGCAGCAATTAAGAGCCTACCACCCAAAAAAAGCCCAGGTTCAGATGGGTTCACAGCCAAAGTCTACCAGACATACAAAGAGGAGCTGGTACCACTCCTTCTGAAACTATTCCAAATAATCCAAAAAAGGGAATCCTTCCCAAATCATTTTATGAGACCAACATCATCCTGATACCAAAACCCGGCAGAGACTCAACAAGAAAAGAAAACTTCAGGCCAATATCCATGATGAACATAGATGCATACTGAAGAATAAAATACTGGCAAGCCGATTGCAACAGCACATCAAAAAGCTTATCCACAATGATTAAGTAGGCTTCATTCCAGGGATGCAAGGCTGGTTCAACATACGCAAGTCTGTAAACATAATTCACCACATAAACAGAACCAAAGACAAAAACCACATGATTATCTCGATGCAGAGAAGGCCTTTGACAAAATTCAACAGCCTTTTATGCTAAAAACCCTCAATAAACTAGGTATTGACGGAACGTATCTCAAAATAACAAAAGCTATTTACGACAAACCAACAGCCAATATCATACTGAATGGACAAAAACTGGAAGCATTCCCTTTGAAATCTGGCACTAGACAAGGATGCCCTCTCTCACCACTCCTATTCAATATAGTACTGGAAGTTCTAGCCAGAGCAATCAGGCAAGAAAAAGAAATAAAGGGTATTCAAATAGGAAAGGAGGAAGTCAGATTGTCTCTATTTGCAGACGACATGATTGTATATCTAGAAGACCCCATCGTCTCAGCCCAAAAGCTCCCGAAACTGGTAAGCAACTTCAGCAAAGTCTCAGGATACAAAATCAATGTGCAAAAATCACATGCATTCCTATACACCAATAACAGACTTAAAGAGAGCCAAATCAAGAACGAACTTCCATTCACAATTGCCACAAAGAGAATAAAATACCTAGGAATACAACTAACAAGGAACGTAAAGGACCTCTTCAAGGAGAACTACAAGCCACTGCTCAACGAAACAAGAGAGGACACAAACAGATGGAGAAACATTCCATGTTCATGGTTAGGAAGAATCAATATCGTGAAAATGGCCATACTGCCCAAAGTAATTTATAGATTCAACGCTGTCTCCATCAAGCTACCAATGACCTTCTTCACAGAACCGGAAAAAGTCACCTTAAGCTCCATATGGAACCAAAAGAGAGACCGCATAGCCAAGTCAATTCTAAGCAAAAAGAACAAAGCTGGAGGCAGCACACTACCGGATTTCAAACTATAGATTTCAAGGCTACAGTAATCAAAACAGCATGGTACTGGTACCAAAACAGAGATATAGACCAATGGAACACAACAGAGGCCTTGGAGGCAACACAACATATCTACAACCATCCGATCTTTGACAAACCTGACAAAAACAAGCAATGGGGAAAGGATTCCCTGTTTAATAAATGGTGTTGGGAAAACTGGCTAGCCATGTGCAGAAAGCAGAAACTGGATTCCTTCCTGATGCCTTACACCAAAATTAACTCCAGATGGATTAAAGACTTAAACATAAGACCTAACATCATAAAAACCCTAGAAGAAAATCTAGGCAAAACCATTCAGGCCATAGGCGTAGGCAAGGACTTCATGACCAAAACACCAAAAGCATTGGCAACAAAAGCTAAAATAGACAAATGGGACCTAATCAAACTCCACAGCTTCTGCATGGCAAAAGAAACAGTCATTAGAGTGAATTGGCAACCAACAGAATGGGAAAAAATTTTTGCAGTTTACCCATCTGACAAAGGGCTGATATCCAGAATTTACAAAGAACTAAAACAGATTTACAAGAAAAAAACAAGCCCATTCAAAAGTGGGCAAAGGATATGAACAGACACTTTACAAAAGAAGACATACATGAGGCCAACAAACATATGAAAAAATGCTCATCATCACTGGTCATCAGAGAAATGCAAATCAAAACTACATTGAGATACCATCTCACGCCAGTTCGAATGGTGATTAAAAAATCTGGAGACAACAGATGCTGGAGAGGATGTGGAGAAATAGGAACACTTTTACACTGTTGGTGGGAGTGTAAATTAGTTCAACCATTGTGGAAGACAGTGTGGCGATTCCTTAAGGACCTAGAAACAGAAATTCCATTTGACCCAGCAATCCCATTACTGGGTATATATCCAAAGGATTATAAATTGTTCCACTATAAGGACACATGCACACGAAAGTTCATTGCAGCACTGTTTACAATAGCAAAGACCTGGAACCAACCCAAATGCCATCGATGACAGACTGGACAGGGAAAATGTGGCACACATACACCATGGAATGCTATGCAGCCATCAAAAACGATGAGTTTGTGTCCATTGTAGGGACATGGATGAACCTGGAAACCATCATTCTCAGCAAACTGACACAAGAGCAGAAAATCAAACACCACATGTTCTCACTCATAGGCGGGTGTTGAACAATGAGAACACATGGACACAGGGAGGGGGGCACTACACACTGAGGTCTGTTGAGGGGAAATGGAGGAGGGACAGTGCGGGGTGGGGAGTTGGGGAGAGATAGCATGGGGAGAAATGCCAGATATAGGTGATGGGGAGGAAGACAGCAAATCACACTGCCATGTGTGTACCTATGCAACTATCTTGCATGTTCTTCAAATGTATCCCAAAACCTAAAATGCAATAAAAACAAAACAAAACAAAACACCCCTACAAACTGCCATGTGCAGCAGCTCACACCTGTAATTCTAGAACTTTGAGAGGCTGAGGCAGGTGGATTACTTGTGCCCAGGAGTTTGAGACCGGCCTGGGCAACATAGCAACACCTTGTCTCTACAGAAAATACAAAAAAATTAGCCAGATGTGGTGTGTACCTGTTGTCTCAGCTATGTTGGTGGCAGAGGTGGGAGGCTGTCTTGAGGCTGGAGTGAGCTATTACTGTGTCACTTGCACTCCAGCGTGGGTGACAGAGCAAGACCTTATCTAAAAAAAAAGTGCAAACTAAAAAGTTAATAGCACTGTCTTAAAAATTAATTGACACCAACCCAAGAGCACGTGAGGATGACTGACACTTGTGGAAGTGAACTGGAAGCTTTCTGTGGTTTTTGCTCCCTCTATCTATGAGCGCTGGTTACAGCTCAGAAAAGACCAATATGAGCTTCTGCAGAGCAGCCAGGAGAGGGCGCACAAGACACGTGATGGCCAAAAAACGAACAAAGTCTGAAATTATTTTCTCTAAAAAGAAAAAAAAGGGGCGTTCTCCCCATATTACTTTTTTTTGGAAAAAAGCAACATAATTTTACAAAAATATATGCTGAGCTTTCCATCATCAAAACATATTGATATAATATTTAGTTGTGATTTACCAATATGTAGAAAATCCAGTTCACAAATTGTGGCAGATCTTATAAACCAAAAGAATTAAATCCCCATTTGGTCACTGAGCTGTGTGGCCTTAGGAAAGTTACTTAACCTCTCTGAGTTCTTTTCCTCACTGAAAAAAAACGGTAACAATGATAACCACCACAGCCACCTCCATACCACAGGTTGGCTGCCTGGGTCAGAGTCTGCCCTGAGAAGTGAGTGATACAGGAGGTGTCTGCACCCAGAAAGGCTCAGTCAAAAAGGGTTCCCTTTCCTCATTTCCTTTCCTAGATGTTTTTATAATAATCTGTAGGAAAGCACTCATCAAAAGCAGCATCTTCTTAGCAAACACAATGATGACATCTAATATTCCTATAGGCTTCCTTGGATTTTGTAATCAAACAGCTGGGTTCAAGTCCAGGCTTCACACTTCCCAGCTGTGTGATCTCAGGCAATGTAGCCACCCTCTCTGGGCCTCCGTTTTTCCCTGTACTATGACACCAATTCCCCTGAGTTTCCTGAGATGGCTGTGAGGATGAAATGAGGTGGCACACAGCAGGGCTGTCATCGCGAGCATCTGCTTATGGCCATTCTGGCCACACGTGACAAGACAAGCGGGAACTACTGGGAACAGGGCAAGGAGTGGGTACCGGCAAAAAGCGGCATGAGGGCCAGCTGGATGGAGAAGGCGCTCTGCCTCCTGGGGCCTGTCAGCGTGGAATCTGCCTCCTCTTCTGCCGGAGGCTTCTTAGGTCTCTTCTGGATTTTCTTTCTTCCCTCTAAATCTTTCCCTTTAACTGTGAAATCAAAGAAAGGAGATAAGCATTAAGAGGAGACTTGTATCTGAGTTGCCATATGTGGACCTGAACATGCTACAGAGATTTGGGAAGGTTCCAGAAGCTCCTAGATGGCAGGGGTTGTTCTTTGTGCCACTGCCTCTTCCCAGCAACCAGAAGTGGTAGCTAAATGTAGATGGCAGGGCCAGCCACGGTGGCTCACGCCTGTAATCCCAGCACTTTGGGAGGCTGAGGCAAGTGGATCATGAGACTGAGAGTTCGAGACTAACCTGACCAACATAGAGAAACCCTGTCTCTACCAAAAATACAAAAATTGGCCAGATGTGGTGACACATGCCTATAACCCCAGCTACTTGGAAGGCTGGGGCAGGAGAATCACTTGAACCCGGGAGGTGGAGGTTGCGGTGAGCCGAGATTGCACCATTGCACTCCAGCCTGGGCACCGAGAGAGACTCAGCCTAAAAATATATATATGTATAGATGGCAAGCCCGTTTTCAGTATATGTAGGGATAGGTTGAGGGCCTCTCATCCCCTCCCACTGCTACCTGAGAACATGTGCAGAAGAGGACTAAGGTCGCCATGACAGTGACGCCACAGGCTCACTCAAGACCCTCCTCCAGTCAGCTCTTAACCTCAGTGCAGGGTGGAGGATGGGCTTTTTAAAGAGACCCTGCTCTTAAACAAAAGCCCAGTCTGAGCCTCAGTAACCTCACCTGTTAAATGAGGGCAACACCACCTGCCTTCTAGGGCACTAAGAGGAGGAAATTAGCAACGCTGCATACAACCCTCAGCTCAGTGCCAAGCTCAGATCAGAAGGAAAAGGAGATGAGGATGCATATAAATCTATGGTCATCAAGACCAATGGGACAGACGAGAAAGCCCAGGAACAGATCCAAACACATAGAGGAACGTAACAGACACCAGAAGTGGCATTTTAAATCGATGAGTAAATTATATTGACTATGCATATGGGAGCAAATAAAGTTACTGAATTACTTCATGACATATACGAAATGAATTCCAGACTCAAAGTATAAAACGAAAACATTAAAATCATCAGCAGAGTATCTAGGAGACTATACTGACATCTGGATGGAGGAGGATTTCTTTTTTTTTTAAGATGGAGTTTCACTCTGTTGCCCAGGATGGAGTGCAGTGGTGCAATCAAGGCTCACTGCAACCTCCGCCTCCCAGGTTCAAGTGATTCTCCTGCCTCAGCCTCCAGAGTAGATGGGATCACAGGCACGCACCACCACACATGGCTATTTTTTGTATTTTTAGTATAGACAGGGTTTCACCATGTTGGCCAGGCTAGTCTCAAACTCCTGACCTCAGGTGATCCATCTGCCTTAGCCTCACAAAGTGCTAGGATTACAGGCACGAGTCACCGCACCTGGACTTTTTTTTTTTTTTTAAAGAGATGACGTTTCGGCTGGACGCGATGGCTCATGCCTGTATTCCCAGCACTTTGGGAGGCTGAGGTGGGTAGATCACCTGAGGTCAGGATTCTGAGACCAGGCTGGCCAACATGGTGAAATCCTGTCTCTACTAAAAATACAAAATTAGCCAGGCATGGTGGCAGGTGCCTGTAATTCCAGCTTCTTGGGAGGGCAAGGCAGGAGAATCGCTTGAACCTGGGAGGCAGAGGTAGCAGTGAGCCAAGATCATGCCCACTGCACTCTAGCCTGAGCAACAAGAGCGAAACTCAGTCTTGGTGGAGGGGTGGGGAGGGAGAGTTGAAAAAAAAGAAGGGAGAGATGGTGTTTCACTATGTTGCCAAGGCTGGCCATAAAAGCTGGGCCAGAGTGATCATCCCCTCAGCCTTGCAAGTAGCTTGGACTACAGGCATGCACCACTGTACCCAGATGAGGAAGGATTTCTTAAATATTCCTGAAAGTATAAACTAGAGAGGAATAGTTAAATAACTGGTGTACAAAACAAGATACCATAAATCAAGGCAAAGGATAAGTTACATACCCGTCTGTGAGGGTTACCATGCATATAACTGGCAATGCCCAATTACCCAGAAGATGTAAACACAAAGCTGCCAGATCGATAAGACAATTTTTTTTAAACAGAAAAATAAGCAAAGATATGAATCGGCAAATTACATGTGTGTGACCAAAGAGGCCTATGCAATGCTGCTCAGCCTCATCAGGAGTCAGGAACTCAACCCTGCCTGTGCAGAGCATGGCAGAGAACAGCATTCCTCAGGACTGCAAGCAGCAGGGTAAAGAGATGCCACCTGGAGAGTAAACCAGCAGCAGTGGGGTCGGAGTTCACCATCTGTGCCCCAGGAGTCCCACTGGGCCAATGCCATGGACTCACATGTGTGCCCAGATGCTTACCATGGCAGTGCTGGAGAGTGAGAAATTGGAGACGACTCAGATCCCCAGCAGGGGGACTGCGTGCGTGAAGGACGGTCCCCCCATAACACAGCAAAGTGCTAACACCTAAACTGTGAATATACAGTTGTTGCATTTTCCTGTGAACTTTCCTATTTCAAAATAAAAAGAATGGTTTAAAAACCTTATTAAATGTTTAAAGCACATTTTTTAAAAGAGTGACACTTTTAATTTGGAAAGAATGAAGTCCGAAGTTGAGAGGCGTTCACATGTGGAAATGTGACTCAGCCTTTGTGGACCGGAAAAATGGGAATCAGTTTTCTTCCACTGTGTCTCCAGCACCCAGCAGAGAGCCTGGCTCAGGCAGTCACTCTCTCCGCAGACTTCAACTACTGCACTACTAGAACCAGGCCAGTGTCAGGAAACAACAACCAACAGGTAACTGATTGAGAGACAAGGACATGATCTGTAGCAATTACAGCTAACGGGATGTGAAATGGCCCATCCCAGGAGGCAGCAGTGCACTCACTGGCTCTAGATGTTCCCACCTCACACTGGAAACACAACTTCTTAATGAGAAACTGGTGAGGGGATCTCGGCTGAGAATGAGGAAGTTGGTTCAGTAGCTTCTGAGGGTTCTGCTCTCTTGACAGTATGTGAATAAGATCACATGCTTCTGCATGAGTGGGTCCCATGACGTGGGATACTGTGTTCTTCATTCCACTGTAAGAGTAAATACTAGGCTGGGTGCGGTGGCTCATGCTTGTAATCCTAGCACTTTGGGAGGCCGAGGCAGTTGGATCACTTGAGGTCAGGAGTTTGAGACCAGCCTGACCAACATGGTGAAAAATACAAAAATTAGCTTGGTGTGGTGGCAGATGTCTATAATCCCAGCTACTCAGGAGGCTGAGGCAGGAGAATCACTTGAATCCAGGAGGCGGAGGTTGCAGTGAGTCGAGATTGTGCCACTGCACTCCAGCCTGGGTGACAGAGCGAGACTCCCTCTCAAAAAAAAAGAAAAAGTAAAGAAAAAGAGTAAATACTTTATCTTTCAAGGAGTCTTTCCATAAACACTACTCTTTTATGCTTCCCCAAATACCATATACCTACCCCTACCATAGCATCTATCACATAGAATTATAATTCTTTATTTGAAAGTCTCCACTAGATATTAGAGATTTTCATGTCCTCCATATGCATAACACCACGGGTCAAAAATATTGGTGGAGTGGGATGGATGATGAGGTTGAGTGAATGACATGAGAAGAAATGGAACAAATGGATGGATAGATGGAGATGGATGGATGAATGAATGGAATGGGTGGATGGGGATGGATGGATAGGGATGGATGGATAGGGATGGATGAATGATGGATGGATGAATACAGGTGGATGGATGGATAGATGGGATGGACAGATAGATGAGTGGATAAATGGGAATGGATGGATGGACAGTAAGGATGGAATGCGTAAGTTGAAAATGTATATAGTACTCTTACTTTTGAGAAACATTTGGTCAAATATGCAAGAATCTCATTGAAGTATACTGAATTTAAAATATTTCATAATTCTTCCAAGTCTAGTTGTATTATAAAATTCCCAGATCCTAACTTACTTTGAGATCTTTGTCTGTCTAATATGTTTAAGCTGCTAAATGATTCATTCTCAATTAATTCCTTGATCTCCATCATGCTTGCTCCTGCCAAAGAAATGGTTGGTGTTCTTGAAACACTCCATCTAGAAAATTCACAAAGAGAAAAATTAATCAAGGTGAAAAAAATCAGGGGCTCGATCTGAAAATCTGTTTACTGATGGACTAAATGAAAGCAGATTTTAAAAAAATCTTATAGCGCATTCCTCTAACACAGTTCTTCTAAGTTTTTAATGTGCCTGTGAGTTACCTAGGGATCTTGTCAAATAAAATGCAGACTCTGGTTCAGTAAACCAGGGGCAGGCCTGAAATTCTGCATTTGTATCAAATCCCCAGTAATGTTGGCACAGTTGGTCTGCATTCAAGGTACTAACCAACTCAAAAAATATAATGAGAAATAATATGTTTTTATAAAAATAGCCCAAACTATAAAACATCTAAGAATTCACTTTTAGGAATTATCCACATTTATAGGTAGAACAAATTAACTCTATTAAAGGACATAAGGGAGGGTCTGAATTGAGTGAGAGGATATACCATGATCATGGATGAGATACCTTAACAATGTAAAAATGTTAATTCTTCCCAAATTAATCTATACATTCAATACAAAAGCAATTTTTAAAAACCAAAATTGTTTAAAGGCATGTTCTCTTGGTTCTTCTCATTCCATTTTCCCAAACTATCAACTGGGCTTCCATTCTCTCCCTGGTCCCCATAGCATCTAAGGAGTCTCCTTCTACAGACCCTTCTCAGGCTACCAGAGGCCATAAGAGCAACTGACCTCATGCAGGATGGCTGGAGACTCAGGAGTCTGAAGGTGTGAGTTGGAATCCTGGCTTAACCAGGAATTCTGGTTTATGACTTTGTGTAAATCACTTAATTACTCAGTTACCTTGTGTAGAAAATGGAGATAGTCATATCACCTCACAAAGTTGTCATTATGAGGATCAAATAAGGTAAAATAATGCATGCAGAAAGCTTGAGGTGCAACATGTACTCACACACAAGCTGCCCTTTCCCTGCTCCCTTAAATTAGGCTGGATTGTATGAGCTCCAATTTAACTGGATTTACTAAAAAAACCTACCATGACTCATAGTAGGGCTAGTACAAGAGGGGCTTCACTCCTACCGCCCAAAATATCATTCAATCCTTACTGAACCATGGAAGAATCGTCCGTTTTGAGGGACTTCTCATATTCCTCACTGTTCTTGGAAGAAGTTTCAGGCTCTGCTTGTTGAGAACCTGAAAATAATAGCAAATATTTCCAAGCTTTTTGTTACATGCTAGCTGACCAAGAAATGAGGGCTCCTGACCCATTTCTGTAATGTCAGTCTCTAGGCAGAGGCCTGGGATATGGTAAGCACTCAGTAAAAAAATTTGTTAGTAAGTGAGTGAATGAATAAACATACAGACTAGTTTCAATTATTTTGATAAATGGAGTCAAGAGGAGACCTCCAGTTCCTTATATAACAGCCAACAGAAAGAGAAAAGTCTATTATGTGTTAAATTGTCCATTTCAGTACTGTTTACATTAGAAAATGAAAATAGTCCCAAGATTCCCAAGTTCCCAACCATAGGGAATAGATTACAGTCTGACCAGAAGATGAAATACTACTTAGTCACCACAAATGAAGTTCATGGAAAGTTTTTCAGGAAATAGGAAAGTGCAGCCTGGTGCAGTGGCTCACACCTGTAATCCCAGCACTGTGGGAAGCTGAGGCAGGAGGATCTCTTGAGCCCAGGAGTTTGAGACCAGCCCAGGCAATATAGCAGGATTCCATCTCTATAAAATATTTTAAAACTGGCTAAGCCTGGTGGCACATGCCTGTCGTCCCAGCTACTCATGAGGCTGAGGCAGGAAGATTGCTTGAGTCCAGGAGTTCAAGGCTATAGCAAGCTGTGATCAAGCCTGAGTATAGTAAGCACTGCAGCCTGAGTGACAGAGTGAGACCCTGTCTTAATAGAAAATAATAAATAAATGAGTAACAACAAGAAGGGAAAGCGCATGTGATGGCATCTTAATAATCTCTAAATACAGGAGTATGTATCCAGGATAACCTAATCTGTGTAAAAAAAAAAAAAAAAAGAAAAAAGAAAAATCCTAGGCTGGCCGAGGTGGCTCATGCCTGTAATCCCAGCACTTTGGGAGGCCAAGGCGGGAGGATCACCTGGTCAGGAGTTTGAGACCAACCTGGCCAAGAGGGTGAAACTCTGTCTCTACTAAAAATACAAAAAATAGCTGGGTGTGATGGATGGTTCATCCTAGTAGTTCCAGCTGCTCGGGAGGCTGAGGCAGGAGAATCACTTGAACCAAGGAGGCAGAGATCGCAGTGGGCCGAGATTGCACCACTGCACTCCAGCCTGAGTGACAGAGCAAGAAACAAAGAAATTCTCTGCAATATAGTAACTACAATGTTACATAGATTGTTCCTTGTGATGAAATTATGTTTTTTTCTGTTTTATACTTTATCTATTCATTAAATTTTCCAAAAACCACATATATAACTTCAACAGTCAGAAAAGTTTTTGAGGCCAGGTGCAGTAGCTCACGCCTGTAACCTCAGCACTTTGGGAGGCTGAGGCTTGTGGATCACCTGAGGTCAGGAGTTTGAGACCGGCTTGGCCAACAAGGTGAAACCTCGTCTCTACTAAAAATAAAAAATCGCTCTCTTCCTTTCTCTGCCATCGTGGTGGGTGCTTTTCTCTGTTTCTTGCCAAGTCTTCTCACAAGACTTTCAGGATTAAGCGATTCCTGACCAAGAAACAAAGGCGAAATCGTCCCATTCCCCAGTGGATTCGGATGAAAACTGGTAATAAAATCAGGTACAACTCCAAAAGGAGACATTGGAGAAGAACCAAGCTGGGTCTATAAGAAATTACACATACGATGGCACACACATTTATGCTGTCTGAAGGTCACAATCGTGTTACCAAATCAAGCTGAGAAATGTCACCGCTATCTGGAGAAGTTTGAATAGTTTCCTTTCTGTATCTGCTATGAAAGCATTAGTTAGTACAACCCACAGTGCTTCCATTATTCATGTTTAAAAAAAAAAAAAAAAAAAAAAAAAAAAAAAAAAAAAAAAAAAAAA